GTGCACAGGCTGATGGAAGGCTGGGGACAGGCAGGGAGCGTGCTGGCAGGGTGCAGGCTGATTACAGGAAGGGTGCAGTCAGGGTGCAGGCAGCAGCCTGGAAGGCTGCACAGGCTGATGGAGGGCTGGGGGCAGGCAGGGTGCACAGGCTGATTACAAGCTGGGTGCAGGCAGGGAGCATGCTGGCAGGGTGCAGGCTGATTGCAGGCAGGGTGCAGGCAGCACACAGGCAGCACACAGGCAGCACACAGGCAGCACGCAGAACACCCATTTCCAGTGCCAGAGTGAGTCACACCCCAGCCCCCCCCCCAGCACCAGCACCCTGCCCTGCCCGCCCTGTGCAGGGAAAGGCTGTGCCAGGCCCTGGGGCTGCACAGCGCAGCCACATCCCACCCCTGTCGGCAGGAGGCAGGAGGGGATTTGCCCCCCAGCAGCAGCAGCCGCCCGTGTCCCTGCAGGCCGTGGTCATGGCCTGGACAGTCCGTCACCCCGAGGGGCCGCAGCTCCCCGCGGTGTCCACGCAGCAGAACAGGGGTTATGGGCAGGATTCCCAGTCAGACCTCATATCCCTGTGAGGAAGCCTAAAGCGTGCTCAGGATTTCTAGAAAAGAAGCCAAGTCGTTGACTTTATCATGCAACCCGCTTCTCGGGATTCCTTAACTTTCTCCTCCATCCTGATTTTGAACTTCTAATTCAAGAATCATAACCTTAATTTAGGTGTCCATCCCAACACGGCTAGGGAAGCTCACCGAAGGACTTGTGTCCCCCTGGCCTGTTCCTCTGCCCGACTGAGGGAATGGTCACATCTGCCACCAGCCCAACTCGAAGATAACTGCGAGTTACTTAAAGACGTTCATGGATAACCTGGATGGTGGTTAACTCGGCCTTTCCTAGTCAAATAAACTGAGGAAAGTTGCAGCAAACATCTACAGTCTTAATACAGACTCGTAGACACTTAATGGTGTACAAACAGCGTTTCTTTAAGCCAACTTGTACAGGCTTTGTGATAAGGGAAAGAGGGGAAAAAATGGCTGATAAGGTACCCAGATCTTTCTGGTAGGTTTTCTAAGCAGATTGTCACATGATTTCACTACGGCGCTGTGTCGTGCTGCAAAGTTTTAGGATTTCCGTGACCAGAAACCTCCCCAAGACCTTAAAAGACATTTGGGGTGTGCTGGAGATGTGGGGGTTAATCAGCAGAGAGGGAGAAATCTGCATAAGGCTGATTTGGGGAAAAAAAATAATGAAATGCAGCTTATCTGAAATCACGGCTGAGCAGGATTTGGTGAATGGCATCTCTGAAGGGAAACCTGCCCCAGATAGGAGCTGTGGCGTTGTGTAAGGGGCATCTCGCTGGAACCCGGCGAGGTCTCTAATTCACACTCAGAAACATCCCTCCGTGGGATAAATTGGGTTATTTATTGTTCCCTGGCTCAGTGCTTTCCCCTCCCCGCCTGCAGGAGGGTGATGGGGGGCTGTCGGGGCTGCCCGCAGGTGCTCGTGCCCTGTCCTGGCCAAAACGTGACCTTGTGTGGAGCCACCCACCCCAAGACTGCATCAAAGTTGCATTAATTTGTCTCAATGATCAGCTCAAGATGAGCCTTTTCCCACTACGTCATTATTATATTATTATTATTATTATTATTATTATTATTATTATTATTATTATTATTATTATTATTATTATTGTTGAATATTTCTACACCGCAGCATCGGGGAGCTGCATCCAGCCCCAGTCTGTTCTGTGCAATCAAATCCTCTCACCACCGCAGCGAGTGTTTCATGTACAGAAAGCTCCATGTGACCAAACCCTTCCCTTGCTCCAGAAACTATTTCCCACAGGCTGGATGTGCGCTGGGAGCCACCCCGTGTGTCTCCCCCTGATTCAGGGGGCAGAGAGGGGTTCTGGGATGCCCGAGCCCTCCTGCTGCATCCCCCCCCCCAACAGCAAACTCCTCCATGTACCTTTGAATTGATGAAATGATGCAGGTGCATCTCTGTAGCCCTTCCTGGGACAGCTCGGTCCCATGCTGGCCCCTTTCTAGTGACAACTTTGAGTCCTCCCAGGCTTTCCTTCTGCGCACATGGGTGCGTACGTACGTGTAGTTCTGCGTGCACACCCCCAAATACGTTATTTTTTGGAAAGGCGATGTCACAGTGTCACGACGCTTTGCTAAAACCCGTCAAGTTGTCATTCCTGTTAATGCCTTCCTAATCCCAGTGACTTGGTGAGGAGCGATCAGACCTCACCCTTGGCTTCGGAAAAACCGTGGGGCTCTTTTCCCTAATTTGTTGTTTTATGTTTCCTATCCGGATGCAGCATTTTAAGGCGGGTTGCAGCTCAGCGTCGCCCTTTTTATTCTCTCTAACAGTTTCTTTGCCTCGTGACAACACAGAGCTTTCACAGCACAAACAAGTCCAAAGGAATAGATGAATTTCCTCAGCTATGAAATAAGTAAAGCAGATGATTGAATAAAGTTTCTTTCCCCTGCCTGGTTTGGCAGCTCTTGCTATATTACATTGCCTAAATTCTGGCCTCAGCAACACTCTTACCCAGATCTGTGACCCCCCCCCACCCCGCCCCGAGTGGGTAATGCTGTTGGGTTTCCTCTGCCATTGCAAACCCGACCCCTTTGCATAAAACCGAACTGCTGCTCTCAATTCCCCGGGGTTAATCTGGAGTAAATCCCCGGGATTAACTCGATTTAACCCTGCGCTGGCTGAGCGGCTGTGTGCAGCCCTGACCGGCGGCGCTGCTCCGGGGTCTGCTGGGCTCCGTGTCCTCGCCAAGAGCCACAGGTTGGCCAGAGATGCTCCCAGAAAAGACCAAGAAACCATCCCACGCTCCATGGGCAACGGCAGGTCAACCCCCTCCTGGTGTAAAGCTGGAGAAAATCCATCCAAAATCAACAGAGCCCTTCTGCCCTGCAGGCGGGTAGATCTGAAGGCTGAAGACCAATCCCCTTCCCCTCCTTTACCTCGGCCGCCTTCAAAAAAAAAAATCTCCTTCCCACTTTCACCTCCTTTTCTCCCTCCCTGGCTGCCCCGAGAGTTTAGCTGTGCAGTTTATTAGGATTTATTTTATTTTTATTCTCTCTGGGGAGCTGTGACCAGCACATGTGGGGGCTTCCCCTCTCTCCCCTGCCCTCCCTGGTGTGGGGGCACAGGGTTTTGTTTCAGTGGTTTTCTCTTGGGTGAAATAATCAGGCCCTTTGTTTGGCCAAAACTGGGCTCAAAAGCCTGTGCGAGGAAGATGCCTATAGCCTGTTTTTTCTACCTGCTGGGTGTTTTCTTGGCCCGAAGTGAACAAGGGGAGGTTCTGCCTCCACAGGACCTGGGCAAGAAGCTCATCCTGCCCTGGACTCTGCACCTCCCTGGAACCCTTTCACGTCCATCATCACAAGAGGATGCCGTGACTGGGGCTGGTTGCGGAGGACAGAGCACATGAAGTGTGGCACGAGGATGACTCCGGTCCTGCCAGCCTTGGGCGGGTGCGATGGCTGGGGGATGCGGGCTCTCATGCTCACCCTGCCGTGCTGCTTCCCTCCCATTTGCCTCTACCTGGTCCTCCCCGGCCAGGCTGGCGATGGAGTGAGTCCCCTTTTGCTCTCCCTGTGTGCAATCGAGGCAGAAATTCTCCCCAAAATTCCCCTCTGCCACTATTCCACCCTCACTGGCAGAAGTCTTTCCCCCCCCCGCCCCAGCCACCGGCTGCCTCGCAAAGGAGCCTGGTGGAAAAAGAGAGCAGCAAACCCCAAAGATGTGTCATTGTGCTAAGTGCTTTCAAACCTTGCAGGATGTCACTGTGTCACAATTTCAGTTCATTAGGCGGCGCAGGGAAGACGCTGTGACATCAAAGCGCTCCTTTTCCCTATAGAAACCGGAGCAGCTCTTTTGATCTCAGCCCCCAGTATCCCCCCCAGATTAATATTTACTAGTACAACCCAAACCTACAGGGGATCCTGCGCTTGATTCCGCCATATGTTCTGGGGCAGTTTTCGTTGCTTCCCTGGTTTTCTTTGGGAGGTGGCTTGTCGGCGGGGGGAGGAGTAAGTAGTAATTTTTATATGTTTATTTATTTCCACGCTACCCTCTGCTCCTCGGGCACAGCAGGGGAGGGCACCCGACCCATTTCGTGTCAACCAGTCGCTTTGAAGCTTGCCACAATCAAACGCTTTTATTTTGGGGGAACCCGGCCAGCTGTTTGTTTGCTTCCCTGCTTTATATTGATTCAAGGAGATAATCTCCCAGGCCCCACGTGCTTAATCTGTGAGCTGCTAATGTTGCATGAGATATCGAAATGGTCCCTTCTCCCCTGGACTGCTGGAGTATTTATAGCTTAATGCAGAGGTTTACGGCGTAACGCTCGTTTTCGGAGCAGCAGAGGACACGTGCGTGTATCTGATACCGCAAACTGCCGTTGACTTTAGCTGGGATATTGTAACTCTAATTTAGTGCCAAAGGGTGACTGTGTACCTCTCATTGTAGGGATATTCTGATACGATTTGGTTCCTAGCGAGTCGTTAGGCTGTCTGACATGGGGGTTCAGCTGCTGTCTGCATCCAAACGAGATGCAGAGGATGCTCCCTGAGATAGCGAGATGGGGAAAAACTCAGCACGAGTGGGAAGCCCCGACCTCTGTGTGCAAAAAGAGGGACACGTCTCAAAGCCAGTGAGAGCAGGATCTGGCTCTCCCCGTGTTAGCATCTGACAAAATGGAGTGGAAATGAATTCAATTCAGAGACATCTAATTTCATGAGAGACTCTCTAAGAATAATTCTACTGCAGATGCTTAAAGTGATTTCAACATGAAAAGCAGGAAAGACAGAGAAGATGATAGAAAATGACTATAGAATTTATACCTTCCCCTCCTTCGTTTAAGCCCTGCACATCCTGCGCGTGTCCTGGCATGAAAGCTGAAGAAAACTGCAGTGCAAAAGAAACAATTTCTTCTATGCTTTTATTGCCCTGAAACAAAGAGATCGCCACTGAAGGTGTATACAGCTGCCTGTCCTGGGCCGCAGGGACCAGTCCAGGGGGAAAATTTGTGGGTTTTTGTTTTTTTAAACGAAGTTTTTCAGCGTGGTTTTAAGCGCTGCTTACAGAGCGAGAAAAGGCGATACTGAAATCACATGCGCTGGGTATCAGTCATTCACACCATCCTGGGGAGCTCTAGATGATACTTCTGTGCCCTACGTCGTGTTTGGGAAGCCAGATCCCAAATGCCCTGACACAGTGACTGCTTTTTTTTTTTTTTTTGTTAAACTGCATTTTTCCTTCCTGCTGTTTAGGGGGTTTAAACAGCCTTGATTTTCCGTGGCTGACAATACACCCCATATGCTATTTATCTTGTCAGAACTCTCTCCCTCTGCCCTCAGCTCCCATTTTGTTCTCATTAATAGTGATTATGAAAAATGGGGCTAAATACTTACTTTCATATGATTTATCCAAATGTTGAACTGCATAATTGGAGAAGCTAAGACATTATCTCTTCAGATTCTGTCAAGACTCAATTTCTGCATTTGATTTAATTTTTAGACTCATGACCCGTAACAGTACATATATTTATTGCCTTTATGGTGGCTTGGCTGAACAATGTTATCTATCAGTCAGAAGCGGGAAGCTGCATATTATTTATAAGAATTTAAATAGTCAGTGTTTTTTAAGAACACTTGTCCTTAGCATGCAGTTATTAACACGGGGCCCCTAGATACAACAAAATTGAAAGTCAGCTGGAAGGAATGCCCTTATTATGAAGATATTTAATAACTGGCATCAGTCTGATTTTCCTTTTGGTGACAGAACTGATGCATGAGCAAAGGCAGGGGAGTGCTGCGTGCTGCAGACCCCTCGCCTGCCCCCTTTCAGGTCCTGATCCAGCGGCTTCCTCCCCTTCCACTTGCCACTGGAAATTGCTCGTGTGTAAAAGGCACCGGTGCACAGACACGTCAGATTTGGTCCTGCCTTTCTGAGCTCCCACCCAGCGATCTGCAGGCGCACGTGCTTGCCCACACGGTGTTTACTGGAGCGCGTGTCGCTACCTTGCAGCGATTCTGTGCGTCCCTCTCCCCCTTTCTAACCCAGCATCTCTACTCTTGGTGGGTTGGTTTGGTTTTTTTTTTCATATCACTTTTGCATGGCTTTGGCCCTGATGGCCAGCTGAATGCAAATGCTTGTCTGCAATGAAGTGTCTCGAGCGTGTGAGTTGTCAATGCGCAACTCGAATCAAACCCCGGGCTCCTCCAGGCTTCAAACCCCGCTTGCCGGGGTGAGGGTGGCCGGCGTGGCTCAGCAAGCTGAGGACCAAAGCGTCGCAGAAACTCAACCCCACCATCACATCCACCTCACCGGCAACACCACCCCGCTTCCCAAATCAACACTGACACAGTGTTGAAGTTGTTAATAAAACAAGTAATCAAGCTGATAATATCTGCAAGCACCATTTTGGGAAAAAAAAAAAAAAAGAAAAAAAAAAAAGAAGATAATAGAGCAACCATCAGGGAGTATAGTTAATGTATAAAACAATTACTGTAGTCAGATGCTTAAATAAGAGCCATAGTGGTAACGAATGCATTACTGTACAGAGGAGCAGTTTACAGTACACAGGATATTTTATTTGCGATGCCCAAATGGGAAAGAATAAATCTAAGATGAAGCTGATGCTTTCATCACCAAATTTGCTCCAGCAGCCTTTTTCCTTGGCATGAAACCTGCTAACACTTGCACGTGCACATACACATACATGGGCACGCAGACACAGTTTTAACTTAAGATTATTGGTTGTAGAAACTAATAGAATTATTTAAAGCCCAGTCGTTTTACTGCCAGCTAGTTTATGTCAGTGGTCATCTTCCTTTTAAATACCAACACCGTAATCAGTTAAGAGAGCTTTCTTCTAAGTAGGCTTTTTAAACAAAAGCTTCCCGGTGCCATTTTTGATAAGGATCTAACCCCCAATCTTTTATTTTGCAGCCAGCCTGAGACTTGGACATGGCTCTACCTTCCTTGTGAGACTCTTGCAGGGAACAATAAGAATATTGATTTTTTTTTTTTTTTTTTTTTTTTAAGACTTGCAATACCACAATGATTTCCCTCCCGCCCTTATTTTCTTTAGCATTTGGTGGGGTTTGACCAGCTTTAATTGCTACAAATCTCTCCTATTTTCTGTTGTTAGCGCTAAATCTGTAACCTGCTCTCTGCCACACGGCAGCGGTTAAGACTTCTTATTGTCTCTTTAATCCCAATTTCTCTGGTGTGCATCTTCCTCTGTGAGGAGCAAAAAGTGCCTGGAGAACCCCAAAGCACAGAGGAAAACCATCAGGAACATAAAGAAAAGGGCTGGCTGGGACATCAGCTTCGGAACCTACAGGGCGGGAGCGTGTTTGCTGGGACAGGATTGCGAAGAAGGAGTTTTGCTGGGTTTAGTTTAAGGCTGAATCTAGGAGTGGAAGTACCTAAAATGGCTTAACCGAAGTGCCTTGGGTTTGTTCAGAAAGCGTTCTGTCCGTGCAGCCGTTCAACCTGACTGGGAGAAAAAGAGAAGTATTGTCACTAGTGATTTTTTTTTTTTTATTAAATCTCTCCTGTTAGGAATCCCAAATTTCTATGCATGAAATAATTTTTCCCTGTAGCGAACTCAGCACAAACTTTTTTTTAATGTGTACAAGATATTTCAGTTGTTTTCCTGCCTTTAATTTCAAAAAGTAAAAAAAAAAAAAGTCAAAATTCAAAATACCAGCTTTCATAACCACATTAGATCCATCTGGCTTTGATTTGATGTCATATTCTGCATCTTAGTAGAACTCAAAGCAAGCAAAAATACTCTACACCTCCATTAAAAAAATGGAGATGGTGATCTGCCGTGCAATTCCTTCTGGTTGTATTACAGACTGAGCACGGACAATAACTGTACTTCAGGTTATCCGTCCCTTTGTACTAAAACGCAGTTTCACGTCGTTTCAGATTTTGACCACTTTGAGCCTAAATTTTAATCCGAAACAGTAGACTCATTTCTCAGAATAAGAT